CATTTCTGGATTTCATATTCGGTTCCATTGGTCCCTTCTCTCTCTCTCTCTTTTTTCTAAAGGCTTTATAATATGTTGTACTATCTGGTGGAGATTTGATCTTAAAATCAGACATTATAATGAAAGTAAACTATAGGCATATCTCATTTGAATGTAGCCATAAAATCCTCAATAAAGTAGCAAACTGAACTCAACAATATATAAGCAAGTAACATATCATGATCAAGCAGGGTATATGCCAAGATGTAAAGAGGGTTTAATTTTCAAGATTCTATTAATATAATTCACCATCCTTCATTTAGAGGAGAAAACTATTTCATCATCTCATAAGCTGCTGAAAAACTATTAAGTAATATTTAACACTTATTTTTAGAAAACTAGGGAAAAAGGGAACTTCCTTTTTTTAAAACTATGTGCCTTCCCAAAACTACAATAAAAATTTCATTTCATGGTAAAACTTTAAAGATATTTCCTTAGAGATGACTACTCTCCCCATTTCTATTCAACATCCTGCAAAAATCTGAGTCAGTCCCATGTGACAAGAAAAACAAAAGATACATGGATTGGGAAGGGAAAAAATCCTAGCATTACTCACACATCATATGATTCTCCACACAGAAAATCCAGGAGAATCCACAGCCTACTAGAGTTGATCTGAGTTCCACAGGGCTACCAGAGACAAAACAATAAACGTTCCTAAATACCAGCAGCAAGCAATGAGAAAATGTGGCTTTTCAAAAACAAACACTTAAAACAACCGACTACTAGGTGTCTGAGAATAAATCTGCTCAAAGATGTGTATAACTTTGTATAGAGATTATAACATTTTATTAATGGACACAAAAGAAAACCCTAAAAATATGGAGAAATATACCACATTCATAGATGTGAAGAGTTACTATCATAAAGATGGTAATTAATTACAAAGTAATCTATAAATTTAATGAGATTTCATCCTAACAGAGGTTCTTCATGGAACTTTACAAGGTGATTCTAAAATTCTTAGGGAAGAATAAAAAGAATTACAAGGACAGACTCACCACCCAACAAGATATTTGAATTACTATAAAGCAATTTGGGGGTACTAGCTCAGGATTGGCAAAAAGACTAATGGGATTACTAGGGAGTGAATGTTTGTGTACCCCCAAACTTCATATGCTGAAATCCTAACCCCTGTGTGGCTGGAATTGCAGATGGGGCCTATAAAGTAGTAATTAAGATTAAATGAGTTCATAAGGTGGGGCCCCAATCTAATTGGATTAGTGTTCCTATTAAAAAAAAAAAGACAAAGCTCTCATTCCCTCTTTCTCTCCCCCCTCCCTCCCTCTTTCTACCCCCACCTGGCACACCATTGAAAGGCCATGTGAGGACATAGAGGGAAGGCAGCCATCTGCAAATAAAAAAGAGAGCCCTCAATGGAAATTACATTTTCTGGCACCTTGATCATGAACTTTGAGCCTCCAGAACTATGAGAAAATAAATGTCTGTTGTTTAAACCACCCAATCTGTGGTATTGTGTTATAGCAGCCTGAGCAAACTAAGGCTGGGATAAAAAAAGAGAACTCAGAAATAGACCTACATATGTACGGCAACTTGGTATATAACAGAGGTGGTATTATAAAACAGTTGAATGGAATATTTGCTAAATGTTCTTGGAGGAGGGAGGCTATGTGTCCCATTATAATTAAAAATTTACAACAGAAGACATCATAAACAAAATTCTTTACACAAGCCAACAGAAAAATGGAACAAGGGATATGAATAGGCAAGAAACACAAATGCCTAAAACATATTTTAAAAATGCTTCATTAGCAACCAATACTCTGAAAATTTGAAATAACAAGGTAGCATTTTTGACTCTTCAGATTGACAAAAATAAATAAGCCTGGTAATCCTGGGTGTTGGCAAGGACATGGAAAATGGAAGCCCCTGTACATTGTTGGCATGGGTGGAAATCGGCACAAGCACTTTAGAGAGAATCTTGGCAATACCTAGCCAAGGAGAAGATGTGTACAGGAGGCACAGACAAGAGCATTCACTGTAGCAGAGTTTGTAATAATTTTCTAAAAGACAGAAACAAAGCCTGGCCAGGTAGCTCAATTGCTTGGAGTGTCATCCCTACATGCCAAGGTTGCGGGTTTGATCCCCGTCAACAAATTGACATTTCTCTCTCATTCCCTCAAGTCAATCAATAAGTTTAAAAAAATAAAATAAATAAAATGAAAAGCAGAAACAGCCTGATGCCTCCAGTTTGGTTTATTCATATAGTAGGATACATGAGTTAAAACCCATGAATTCAATCTGCACTTCTCAAAATGGGTAAATCTCAAATATTTTAAGGTTAAGAAGCAAGTGCTAGAAGATAATATCTTTCATTTAAATTAAAGTGTTTGAAACTCACAAAATAGTGTATATTGTTTATGAGTATGGCATATGAAGGGAAATACTAATACACACTTGGAAAAATATCCTCATCAACTTCCAATACATGGTTGCCTTAGGGAGAGGGGCAGAAAAAGGGATGGAATGGGGAGACTGTAGCTCACTTCACAAAGTTTTACCTCTGTTTTGTTTATTTGTTTGGTTGGTTGGTTTTAAAGAGACCTGAAGCAAATATTACAAGACATTAACATCTATTTAATATCAGTCGTTCATGGCTGGTGGAAGTGGGAATAAGGATGGGATGTTTTATTATTTTCTGTTTGTTTGAAATGTATTAAAGTTCAAAACATTGAAAGGGAAAAGAAAAGGCCTGAGATAAAGCGATCAGAGAAGGACAATTTGCAGAAAACGGCATCCTAGAAGCCAAAGGGAAGTGTGGGCATCGACTGACGCTGCAGGGCCGGCCACCGCCCACTGGGTGAAGGGGCACACAGCTCCGGGCTGGCATCACCGCAGGAGTGACGGAGGAGGAAGCAGCTGGCCGTGGCCCTGGTTTGGCCAACTCTGATAAGTTTGGCTGTGACAGTGCGTGGTACCTGAGGGGAGGGCAACGTGGAAGGCAGCCTTTTTGCCCACTCTGGGAACATCAGAACCTTGTCAGTATGATAAAGGGGAACAAGTATGGGGCAAGGGCAAGATTGAGGCTATAAGGGATGGGAGAGAGGTTTGATTATAGAGAAGGTGGTACAGCCTTGCAAAGGGGCGGGGGGCAGGGGTTGAAAAGGCAACTGCCAGTCTCCCAGTGAGAGGGCCAGAGTCCAACAGAGCCTCCTTCCAGCAGCGCAGCCTGCCCAGGTCGGAGTGGGAAGCTGGTCCTGAGAGCATGATCGGGATGGTACTCAAGAGGGACATCATTATGTTACATAGTTTAGCATTTATTTCAACGAGTACTAGTGGGGCAGGGGGGAACCAACATAACCAGCCATGAAATGTATGATTTCATGGATGAGATGGTAGTGGAGGGAGCCAGAAAAAGCCATTAAACGTCCTGGACTTTGGGTCTCAACTCAAAGAGCCCGGCTGAGGGGTCACAGGAATGCCCACCTAGCCAGACAGATAGGACATAACATAGATAAAGGTATAGATATACTACAGATATAGAGATAGAGAATAGATATAGACACATTTGTCCAGAAGGTATCCAGCCATGTACTATGAAAAGAGACATTTACTGAAGAAGATACAAAATACAAGAAACATTGTACATGTGACAACGATAACCTCAGTCCCCTTCAAAGTAAGCACCTTGGTACCTCACACAGTTCTCCCACTCATCATCGGCTGCCCCATCATATTTTCCTGAATCTCATTAATGGCATGAAATTCTGAAACCTCTTCCCTTTCAAAGGTGATTTTAGTTTTAGGAGAAGCCAGAAGTCGCAGGGTGCCAAATCTGGGTAGTAGGGGCATCGAGTCAGCTAGGTGATTGGATGTTTGCCAAAAAATTCTACATGAGATGTGATGCTTGAGCGGGCACACTGTCGTGATGAAACTGCCAATCACCAGTTGCCCATAGCTGCATCCATTGTATTGTGTCTCTCAACTGATGAAGACCATTTCGGAAGTACTCCTTATTAATTGTTTGGCCCGGAGGGGTGTACTTGTGATGGACAACACATTCCCAATCAAAAAACACCATTAACATGATCTTGATCTTGCTGTGACTTTGCCACACCTTCTGTTGGCATAGAGAACCAGGCTACTTCCATTGGGAAGACTGGGCCTTCATTTCCGGATCATAGCCATAGACTCTCAATTCATCTCTGGTTATGACCTTGAGGAAAGCTGGTTCAATTGTAGCAGTTTGAATCAAGTCATTAGCAACTGCAACACGATGTTCCTTCTACTCTGATAGCAAAAGCTGCAGAACAAATTTTGCCGTGACATGTTTCATGCCAAGATCCTACATCAAAATCTCAGGCACAGTAGTTTCTAGAATCCTGAGCTTAGCTGCTAGCTCTCACACTGTCCGTAAATGATCTTTGTTGATTGCAGCCTGTACACAGTCAACATTCTCAGGTGTTCTGCTTGTTGCAGGCCTTCCAGAACGTGGACCGCTTTCAACAGATTTTCAACCATCTTTGAAGCATCCATGCCACACTTTTATTTGTACTGCACTCACTGCATTGTCCCCAAAAGCCTTCTGAATCATCCAAATAGTTTCCACAGAGGAATGTTCAAGTTTAACACAAAATTGGATGCAGATTCGGTGCTCTACTCACTCAGTCATTTTGAATGTGATGGCCATACAGTACACATGCTCACTCAATGGTGCCTACCGCCCCCACTGACTAGTACAGCGAAGTCGTCATCGTTCACACATGTGCATTCCAGTCCACTCTCCTTGGCTTCCAGGTTACATCAATGTCAGCAAACTATATATTAACAATGGCTGGACTTTTTCTGGGCAGACTATAACATACATGCATATATATTTAAAATGAGGCAGAAGTTTGAAAATCATTCTCTTTGGAGGAAGCTATGCACCATGCCAGGTCAGGTGTCAGTGGGGCCTTGGCTCTGTTTCAGGCTCACACTCATCTCTCCCATGGTTTCAGGACATTCTCAATGACCTGTTCGCCACTGTTTTCCTGGTGGGGGCTGCGGTGTTTGCTGTGAAAGTTCGACAAACCATGCCAATGAACTACCTTATTGCTGTGGTGAGTTTCTTGTTGGGCTGTTTATTTGCTCAGAAACCACCTCTTTTGGAGAATAGGTGTTTTCTCTATTTGAAGAACAGGGCTCCTTTCCTTTTCTCAAAATCTTGAACTTTGAGACCCAAAGCAAAGTTTGACAATAAAACTGATAAATTTTTCCAGGGGATAAGCCACTTAAATAAAGATGAAGTCTAGGGAGCCAGCCACACCAATCGCTTCCTCCTTGTAGCTGCTGACCCAGAGGCAAAAGGCCCACCCTGGCCAGGTTTAAAGAGAGAAAGAAGTGGTGGAATGACAGGGTGATGGGGGAGGGAAACTCAGTCTCTGAGGCCCGGTCATTTGATGGGACAAAGGCATGTGTTTAACGGCACCCAACTTACAAATTAGAAACCAGGAAGGAAATATGCCAGCTTTGGAATGAAAAGCAAAAGTAAGGCTCTTTTTGTTTTCCAGATCCTTATTGGTGTGGCTGCATTTTTTCCTTTAATCGACGTATGTCTTCAAAGAAAACACTTCAGAGGCAAGAAGATCCAAAAGAATGTGCTGATTCCTCCTACCAAAAAGGACAAAGAAACACCAGAGGGGGCCGCAAAGCCAAAGGAAGGAGAAAAGGCAGCTCCAGCAGAAAAGCCAAAGGCTGATGCAAAGGCCGACGCAAAGGCCAAGGATAAGGGGAAGAAAGGCAAGAAATGACATGAAGGAGATACCTGTTGTCAGAAATGGCAGCATATTTTACAACGAAGCATACATAGTTCCTCTGTCTTCCTTGTCTTCTTAATTATTTTCTTTTCCACTTCAATAACCACCTTTGCTTGGAAAAGAAATTCTCTTGAAATGGATTTTTTGTTCATTCAATGAAAGTTACTGAAAGTTTTGGTGAAGAGAGCGAGACCAGAGCTGGGCCTCACCAGGCACTCACAGGTAGCAGGACACAGAGGGTTTGGGGGACCAGAAATCTGGGTGACACCAGCTGTCAGCAATGACCAGCCAAAGGGGTCAGAGGAAAAGTAGACCAGAAAACAAAAGGATGCATTTTGTTCACATTAATTTTATTATTTATTTATTTATACATATGTTTAAAGCATCCAAGGAGTCACTATGGGAGAAATAATGTTGCTGGCATTCCTGATTCTCACTTTGCAGTTTAGTATTGGTTCTCATTGAAGCGGCCCCATTGACTTGCAGCATCTCTGTCCAGTGAAGACCTGAGCATAAGCCCTGAACTAGCCTCGGTGGCACCCCAGGGCCACGGTTCCCACAAGCAGGCCTCGATCAGGGCCTCACTCTCACTGGACAGTCCAGCCACCCTGGCAGGACAAGAGTCATCCTCATGAGAGGAAAGTGAGGACCCAAATTGATGCATGAGGAGCAAGGAGGAGGTCTGTGTGTCATGCATGTGTGTGGGTCTGGGACATGAGTGACAGGTGAGGAGGGTCAGCTAGGCCTTGACAGCCATGGTGAAGACTTGGGCCTCTGTCCTAAGTGCCACGGGATCCCCGAAGACAAGAAAGTGGCTGGATCTGCTTCCACTGGGAGGACATGACACTTGGCCGCTGCTAAGAAATAGGCAGCTGCCTGTCGGAAGGTGGGGCTGGAACAGGCCTCTGGTAAAGTGGGAACTTGGGATACCTGCCCCGCTGCGGGCCCCACCCACAGTGCCTCTACTAGTCAAGTCCTCCCCTGTAGCCCCCACACCACCTCCTGCTGGCCATGCTGGGTGAAGCAACCCTACTAAAAGGGAATACCTGCAGGGATTCACATTCTAGAAAAAAAACAAAAAAAAATGTATACTATCCTGCCATATGGCCCAGAATTCGCCTCCTAGATATTTAGCCAAGAAGAATGATATACTAGAATGTTCACAACAGCCAAAAAAGCTAAAATGAGCCCAAATATTTAAAAGGAGACATGCTATGTTACAGTCACACAGTATAATACTACTCAGCAATAAAAAATTAGCTACTGATACATGACAGTGAATGGTAATAAATGTAAAAGGTTCATAATGATGAATCTCACAAAGTACTGAGTGAAAGAAACCAGACCCAAAAGGAGGACATACCATATGATCCCATTACTGTGAAGTTCAAGAACAGGGGAGAATATAGTGAAAGAAATGAAAACGGTGGTTACCTCAGGAGGTGGAGGATGGGGACTGATTACAAAGGCACATGAGGGGACTTTGGGGGGGCATGGGAAAGTTTTATATCTTCATTGGGGGAACTGGTTACACAGGTATATACACTTGTCAAACATATAACTGTATACTTAAGATCTGTGCATTTCATTGTATATAAATTTTACCTAAAAATGTAAATCCACTGGAAAAGTGTAGACCTTGCTAAACTCCTTCGTGTGGCCACTCCTGCCACCCCTGGGGGCAGCTATATGAAGCAGGCAGGCCTTTTCCACACCCGGGCAGAGAAGGCATGAGGCGGGGCTGGGTTAGAGCTGAGCAAGACTTGAGGCAGCCAGCTGTCATGCTGAGAAGGGGCCTGGCACAGGGACATGGTCACCACAGACTGCAGGCCCGTTCAGAGCAAACTGCATCAGGTGAGCATCCGCCAGGCGCAGGGCGGGAATGGCCACGGGAGTGCGGCGCATCACCTATGGGTCTGGTCAAAATGCAGATGCTAAAAAACCCGAACTAGTACATCCGGAATAAAGATGGAGACTATGTCTTTAAAACCAAAGAGACTGTAAAAATGGGCAATAAGCTAACAACGACTCTAGGGGGACAGGGGAGACTATAACAAAGATTTTTAAATGTAACAGAAAAGTTGAATAATAGAATGAAAAATTAGTGACCTGGAAAATCAAGTCCAGGAAATCCAAAAGACAAGAAGACATTTTTAGAAGAAATTAGGAGAAATAGGGAGGGTAGATCCAGGAAGCCCAACAACCATGTCCTGAATCATAAGACAAACCTCAATAAATCTAAAAGAATTTAAATCATACAAAGTATGTTCTCTGACTGTAATTGAATTAAATTGAAAATTAATTTAAAAAATTGGAAAATCTCCAAACATTTAGAAATTAAACAACACTCTACCAAATAACCTGTGGGTCAAAGGTAAAGTCTCAAATTAGAAAATATTTTGAACAAAAATAAAGACATATCAAATTTGTGAAACTAAAGTTGTATGTTGATAATTATAGTATTAAATGTTTATATGAGCAATGTGTAAGCAAGATATGCCAGATTAATGCTAACAAATAGAAAATAGGGGTGGTGAAATTAATATTAAATAGAATTCAAAGATAGGACAACGATGTTTTATTAAGTTAATAAAAACTCACTATGTGTCAGGCATTGTCCTAAGATATTTATTTATTAATTCATTTAATCCTTACAATAGTCATGACTTAGGTAATATTATTATCCTTATTTTGTAGATGGAAGAACTGAAAACAAGAAGTTAAAATAGCAGAACCAGGATTTAAATCCAGGGTTTATGCTCTTAATTGCTACATTCTACTGAACACAATGTATGTTAACTTTTGTTCATCTAACACCAGAGCTTTGAAAAACCATAACCAAAAACAAAACTATTAGAAATGTAAGGACAGATAAAACCTTATTGAGTAGCTTTAATACATGGTGGGAAGAAAGTAGGTTTATAGTTGTTCTCATGGAAAATAATACAATAATTAATAAATACTAATGCACACATAAACTCTGTTTCATGTACTCACCACTGTAAACCTACTTTTTCCCCACTCTGTATACCTGTTTTAATAAGTCAAGACATCAAGTACAAAAAGCACACGTATACAGGGGGTTAAGATTACATAATTAATTAGATATATGATACATAAGTAAATATCAACTATTAGGACACAAAGAAAATCTCAAAAGTTCCAAAAAGTAGAACCTAAAGAACTATTCTCTGAACAAAATAAATAATAAAATTAGAATTAACCACAAAAGTATAGGCATAAATGCATCTAATTAAATATTTAAGCACTCTTTTAAATTATTCATGGACTAAAGAAGAAATTAAAACAAACTACAAACTAATTAGAAATTAATAAAAACTAGAGCAGTATTTTTGGGATGTGTCCAAAGTGGGCTTCAGAGGAAAATTTACAGTTTTAAGTACCTTCATTAGGAAACAGGAAAGATTTAAATGAAGGATAACACAAATAGTAAAATTAAAAACTGCAAGTCCGTTCTGTTTGTGAAAAAGCAAAAATCCCAAATAAGATACTATCAGAATGAGTCCAGAGGTTTAGCAAAAGAGCAAACAAAATGCCCTGAGCAAGAAAAGCACATCCCACACGTGTGAGGGTGGTGAGCATTAGGAACACCACTACTGACATTTACGACATTTATAGATTAAAAGAGAAAAACAGCAAGGTCTAAAAGAAAAAACCTGTATGGTAAAGAGGCAAAGTGAAAATTAAATGACAAATCAGGAAAAAATACAACTCACATTTCAGAAAAAGGACTAATTTCCTGTATATGCGTTCTTATGTTATCAATTTTTAAAAAACCAAAAACTAATTGGAAAATATACAAAGGATGTGAAAAGTCCAATCTCAGAAAAGCAAATGCAAATGGCTCTCACATGTTTTTTTAAAAAGTACTTGTGCCGCTCATAACTAGAAAAATGCAAATTAAAAGTGCCTGGAGAGATCTTGGTCTCTAAATACCATTCTCCAATAAAAAGCAGCAGAACTTCTTGGAGAATTGGCCCATCCTAGGGCTGAAACGGGAAGAATACAAAATGAATCTGAAGCGGGGACAGAAAATAAGGAAATGGGGGAAAAAAGCGGGATGGGGGGTGGCGGGCAGGGAGGCATGTTTCCTACCTAATGGCCAAAGGTGGGAAAAAACCAGTAAAATGAAGCCCATTATAACCCAAAGAATAAGACATTCCTTAGATAAGGAACTTGAAAGGAATAGCGCCACCCTCCTCTGTTCCATACCAGACATTTCCTAGTGCTATCCTGCGTGACAGGTGCTGGTTGGGGCTGGTCCCTAAGTCACAGCCTGTGGGAGGAGGGACAGCAGACCCGGGTATGCAGCCACCCCAAGCAGGGGCACCCAGTGGGTGGTCCATGCCCTCTCCCTGGGCCCTCTCAGCCACTCTAGTCTGTCAGCATGTTTTCTTTTTTGTGCGTTTTCAGTGAATTGAGATATAAATTACCTGAAATAAAATGTACTCATGTACCTTGTAAAGTGTTTTGACAAATCTATGTTCCCGTGTAACCACCACCCAGTCAAAATAAAGAACGTCCCTAGTACCCCAAGAAGTTTCCTCCCGCCCCTACCCCAGGTAACCACTGATCTGGTTTCTGCCACCATAGCTTAGTTTCACCTAGTCTAGAATTTCATAAAACTGGAATCATACAGTATGTACCCTTTTGAGTCTGGCTCCTTTCATTCAACATCATGTCTCTAAAATGCATCCATGCTGTTGCGTTTATCAGTGATTTATTCCTTTTTATTGCTGGGAAGCTTTCTCTTGTGTGGATGCCTCACAGTTAGTTCATCCCTTCCCCTGTTGAACCAGCGGGTGGTTTCCACATTAAGCTATTAAAAATAGAGCTGTGTACAAGCCTTGGTGTAGACATGTGCTTTCATTTCTCTCGGGTAAATACCTACAAGTAAAATGACTGGTTCATAAGGCAGGCCTCTGATCAACTTTTTAAAAAATGGCTAAACTGTTTTTCCCAGCGGCCGTAACAACCTCTGCCGTTAGCAGTGCGTGAGAGTTCCATCTGCTGCATGTCCTCACCAGCACTTCACTAGCGGTGACCCTTTTTATTAGACCATTTTAATAGCTGTAGAATAGTATTTCATTGCGCCTTCAATTTGCATTTCTAGATGTCATGATGTTGAGCGTCTTTTCCTGTGCTTATTGGATGTTCATACATCTTTGTTGAATTGTCTGTTCAAATAGTTGGCCCCTTTTTAAAAAATGGATTGTTCTCTTGAGCTGCAGTTTTGAGCCACATTTTAATTAACACAGATTAGAACCAGGTGGTTCTCCGTTCCAATCCCCTCGCCCCTTACCAATCTGGCATCCTCCCAGGGGATTTGGGGTAAATCCCAAACACCAGGGCCTGGGCCTCCACAATCCTTCCCCTCCCACTGGCCCCTAGCTCAGTCCTCTCTTCCACACAGGCTGCCTGGCCTCTCTCTGAATCTTCCAGATATCTATTACCAGCAACCAACTTACTCAGGACTCTCTGGACACATTTAGTGTTCAACCACAGCCCCAAAATAAGCTGGGGATTCCCTGCATCTTGGGCCTCTAGCCCTAGACGCCCAAGGTGCGAATGAATGAATGAGTAAATGAATGCCTTTTACCTTGCTGGAGAGGTCAGCGAAGTCTTCTCTGAGGAAGTGATGCTGCATTATGATCACAGAAGGCTAAAGAGGAATTGATCAGATAACAAGGTGGGAAAAAGTCATTCCAGGCAGAGGGGACAGACAGTATGTGTACAGGCCCCATTGCAGAAGGAGGACTGGTTTAAGAAACTATGAAGAGGCATACGGGTGGGAGAGACAGAGGAGAGGGCAGAAAGGGGGGTTATGTTTTGCCCAACACTAGGACCCTGACCAAGATGGGAAGCTCCCGAAGTGTTTTGGGGTGGGGGGTGGAGGGGACTTCGACTGAGGTTTAAGCATCCCTCCGGGTGCCAAGAGAAGAGGTAGAACAGGGAGTTCTGCTTCCTCAGAACAGCGCAGAGAGGAGGAAGCAGTGGCCTGGGATCTAGTGGAGGCCTTGGTGGTGGTGAGAAGTGAACGAAGATGAAAGAAAGTTTCAGGGGCGAAGATGGGCGGCTTTCGTGGTGAGGATGTGGAGAAAAAGGACAACCCCCGGGGCTCTGGCTCTCTGGCGGGGGTCAGGCCCGCGGACGTCAGGGGCTGGTCTGGGACACAGCGAACGGACGCCCTGAGGACGTGCGCACGCGCGGGCGTGGTTGTGCTGTGTGGAGTTCAGGCTGTGAGATATGTGTGTGTCCGGGCGCCCACCCGGAACAAATGCGGGCGATGAGAGGCGGAATGGCCAAGGGGGGGAAGTGCGGGAGTAGGGTGGGGCGCTGACAGCGTGGTCAAAACCGCGGCGGGACTGGGGCGAGTCTGTCTGCTTGGACGCCCAGGGTCCTGGGTTCCAGCCCGGTGCACGGGCTGGAAGCTCGACGGGAGACAGCGAGTGTAAACAATCCTTCTGGGCAAGGAGAGACGGGTGGGAGCTCCGACGGGGTGTTCACGGGTGGCACAAAGGAGGTCTCGAGCTTCCAGGACAAGGGTGTGAGGAAGCCCCAGGCCAGGGCAGCCGGGGTCCGGGGGGGAGGAGGGGAGGCGAAGGAATGAGGGCGGAAGAGGGGAAGGGAGGTAGGAGCGGAGGAGGGGGCAGAAGGGGAGGCGGGGCGGGGGCGGGGCGGCGGGGGGGGGGATGCGCCCCTGCGCCGAGCTCGCCAGGCCTTTCTCTCCTTCCGCACAATCTGGGTTTCCGCTTCCCTCCCGGGTGCGGGGCGTGAGGGAGGAAGACCGAGCCTTGTGCTTGCCGCCGTCATGTGGCCCCCAGACCCGGACCCCGACCCCGACCAGGACCCCGAGACCGCTGGCCGCTCCCAGCCCGGCGCGGCGGTCCCCGGGCTCCGAGCCCTCCTGCCCGCGCGCGCCTTTCTCTGCTCGCTCAAAGGCCGCCTCCTGCTGGCGGAGTCGGTGAGTGCAGCGTGGCCCCCTCCCGCGGGCCCCCTCGGCAGCGCCCCTCTTTGGGGGAGAGGGCGGTTGCCGCTGTCCGCAAGCTCGCGGCCGACCCTTCTTGGAGCCCCGTCCAGTTGAGCAAACTTGCCCACGTTTCAGACTGACTCGCTCAAGCTCAGCGCGCGGGTCAGAGGCAAGGCGGGGCCTGAACCCGGGCCTTTCCGGGCCTTTCCAACACGGGAGTGCAAAGCTGGGGGCCGTGCGGAATCCTGGAGAAAGGCCCCTGGAAGCGCAGCCCGGCGCTGTGTGACCTCAGGCGCCTCCGCCTCTCTGAGCCCCTGTAGGAACCAGTCCGCTCGGCCCTTTACGACCCCCGGGTAGGGGCGCCCTTGCCCGCTTTCCGGGCCGCAGGGAGGGCCAGCAGGGCCTCGAGCTGCAGGGCGGAAGCTGGAGTGGAGTCCATCCAACTGGGGTGGTGACAGCAGAGTGGGAAGAGGACCCCCGGGATTGGGTGAGGCCTCAGCAGTACTTTTGGGGGCACGCAGGCCGACGGATGGGGGCCAGAGCCCAGCGGGGTGACTTCATCCCCCTCCTCCCCTTCCTGGTCGGAATCCAGCCGCCCCGCCCCCGCTGAGCTTCTTCCTTCCCGCTCCCCCCACCCTGGCCAGTCAAGCCTTTGTCCTCTGGACACTGCGAAGAACTTTTGCATTGTCCGCGTGTGGGGTGGGGGCTGGTCCTGGGCCTCGGTGGAAGGAAGAGAAGGAAGTCACCATGCAGAAGGGACGCGGGATGTGGGAGGGGCATTTATTACTGAGATCTGCATTAACATGACAGCCCCTGTCTTTATTCCCACTCTGCAGACAAGAAAGCTGAGGCCAGAGCATCCTAGAGGATTTGACCGGTGGATCAGATGAGGGGCGGGGGACAGCAAGGACTGAGGGGTCTGGGGTTCAGAGGAACGACGATTCTGCCTTGACCTCAGGAGGCAATTGGTGGTTCCATCACCTTTTCTGCACCTGGGGTCAACCCAGAGGTCACCAGCCCAGGACCTGCCGAACTCCCAAGTGAGGCACCAGGACCCACCAACAATCCTCACTTCAAGGGGTTGCCTCCTGGTTGGCCACCCCAGCCCCACCCAAGAGATTGGTGGGAGCTACTTTTGGGGAGAAGCCTTGAATCCACCATCCACTGAGGGGGGCCTCAAACCCACCCAACTCAGGCTCCCCTCCTAGGTCAAGGAGTAGCTGGCCAGAGCACAGAGGAGGCCCAGGGTATAGGTGGGTGTTGGGAATCTCAGTCTGGGAGCACAAAGAGTGGGGAGAGAGGATGGGCACTGAAGTCACAAAGGGATCTGCTCCAGGTCACTCCTGCCTCCCTGCAGTCACCTCTTGTCTGCCCCCAGGCCCAGGCAAATGGGGAGGTTGACATGGACAGGAAGGGGGAAGAAGTGGCTACCAGGAATCTAAGGATGAGGAAACAGGAATCAAGAGGGGGATCCCCAGAATCAGTCTTTGCAGGGCAAGGAACAGAAAGGAGGAGGACACAGAAACAGCAGAGTAAATATAGTAGGAGCCGTGGTCAGGCTGGGTCAAGGTCCTCTACCTTGACTTCCTGGGAGGCCCTAGCAGACTCAGCTGCTTCTGTGCCCTAGTTTTCCATCTGTTGAAGTTGGACTCAGCTACCCACGTGGCTATGTTTAGGACAGATGTGGCTGCCTTGGGGACTCCCTGAGATCTCAGTAGCTCATTTGCCTAGAGCAGCCACAGTGCTTCCTGTGGGGCATATGAGTATCCCTACAGAGCCCCCTGGGCCCCACTCCAAGCTCAGCCAGGGACATGTACAAACGTAGACACAGTGCAGAAACCAGGGCAGATAAAAGCCAACACCCACAGGGCAGGGTTGCTAAAGGACCTGTGGCATCAGATCAGCCCTGGGTTCAAATCCTAGTGCCCTCTTATTAGCTGCATGGCGCTGAGCCATCACTTCACCTCTCAAAACCTCAGTCTTCTCATCTGTAAAGTGGGCTGTGAGCAGCATCTGGCCCGTGGTTGTGAGGATAGCAGGAGATCCCGCAAGCCTCAGAGGCACTAGCCCAAGGCCCAGCGCCATCACCCTGGCTTGCTCTACAGCACACAGTCTGCAGAACTAACTGGGGGCTTCCACGGTCCGCCAGCCTCAGTTCCCCTGCACAGTGTATGGATGGGGCTACAGAGAACGTTTTCATTCTTATAGTTCCTCAGTGCAGCTCAACCAAAGGCCCGCGGGGCCTCAGGCATCAGTGCCAACACTCGTCTTCTGGAGGTGTATTTCTTATTATTACTAAAATTTGCAAATATATTAAAAAGCTGCAAGAGTTATACTGGTAACACCCATATACCCACCACCTATACTGTACAGTTGTTAACACATTGTTGTATTTAATTTAGCACCTATCTACCTGTCTATCAATCCATTTTATCTTTCCATCCATTAAGAGCAAATTGAAGACGTCAGTACATTTCAACTCTAAGTACTTTTTAGCATCCATATCCTTAACTAAATTTAAGATATAGTGATTGTTTTTCAGGTAAAGATTACATTCAGTGAAAGTACAAATGTTGTGTGTTGGGAGTGATTTTTTTGAATTTGGTTCCTGCTTAGTGGGCTGCCTCTGAGACTGCTTAGGTTTGATTAGCTCCTGTTGGACATCCTCTGAATTGGGTGGGTTCTTCCAGAGTCTCTTGGGGTCGGGATGGGGGTGAGCAGCTCCAGAAGGTGGCCTGAGGGGCAGGACACACCTGGCAGGCTGGGACCTCTTGATTGGGTCCTGGCAGGGCACTGGCAAGGGGTCGAGACTCAGGTCCATGCCCAGAAACACTGGGGGCAACAGGGGCATGGGCCCCGGCCCCGGGAACAGATTCTAATCCTGGCAGCTTCAGGACTGAGGGCAGGTCACCTCCTGTACTGGAGCCTCCTCTGTTCTTGACCGCAGGGTAACTCGGAGGGGCAGTGGGTGAGGGGCTGTGCGGAGGCTCTGACTTCTCCCTCCCCACCCCAACCAGGGTCTCTCCTTCATCACCTTTGTCTGCTATGTGGCATCTTCAGCATCTGCCTTCCTCACCGCGCCGCTGCTGGAGTTCCTGCTGGCCCTCTTCTTCCTCTTTGCTGATGCTATGCAGTTGAATGACAAGTGGCAGGGCTTGTGCTGGCCCATGATGGTGAGGACTGGGGCCCCAAGAGGAAGTGGCTAGCTGACCACCAGAGAGTTGTGCGTTCCGGCCCTGCCCTTTCTCCAGTGCGAAGGAGGGGCTGTTTGCTGTTGGTTGGAGCCAGGAGATTAGACCTGGCTTCGGATGATCTGGGCCCCACCCCTCGGCAGCCGTGTGACCCGATCAGCACCTTCTGGTCCCTCTGTGAGGCAGAGAACCCCAGACTGCATCCCCGACCTTGGCCACCAGGGGGCGCTGGTGCTCCCAGCTGGGCCTGCAGGAATAAGTCTCAGCCACAGAAATACAAGCCACTTACATGAGGGCAGGGCTGGTTAACTGAGGATTTGCGGGACTTACCCACAGGACCCCAGACTCCAGCCCTCTGACAACTCCTTTTGTCACCTGGGAGGGTCCAGGGCCCTGCCTCAGACTTCGCTGCATGCAGTGGGTCAGAAAGAAGGGACAGCAAGCCTGCACTTGAACGCGGGTCTCTTCTCGATTCATACCCAGCATTTTTCCTGATGGGCTACACCCTCTATCCCCATTTTAGGGACCAATAAACAGAAACCATAATACATAAGTGGACCTGCAACAAGTATGTGGCAAAGTGAGGCCCAAGGCCAGATCACCACAAGCCAAGCTGCAGCCTGGTCTGTACCCTTTGTCCACCGGGCAGATGGCAGCTGAGCTGGGCCAGGGACAGAGCTGTCTCAGCTGCTGGCAGCCCACAAGAGGCACCTGAGCAGGGACAGGAGGATGGGCGGGGGTGGGAGCCCCAAAGATGCTGGACCTGGGAGCCAGGCATGTATCCTTGCTGCCAGGCCCACCCTCCTCTGGAAACAGTGGGGTTCCAGCCCTGTTTTCTGCCCCCTGGTACGCTTCTGAGCCCCTCTCCCCTGCGGTACCCCCACCCCAGAGAGTTCCGGGCAGTGTGACCATGCCCCTCTCCCCCGTGCAGGACTTCCTACGCTGTGTCACAGCGGCCCTCATCTACTTTGCCATCTCCATCACAGCTGTCGCCAAATACTCAGATGGGGCTTCCAAAGCAGCTGGGGTGAGTAGCTGCCCTACCCCTGGGAGGGGTGCCCAGTGATGCACCCCTCAAGTTCACCCCACCCCTCCTAAATCCCCCCATGCCCCTTGGGACACCGGCTTAACGTCTAGGACATATTCCGTTCCTGCTTAGACCCCCAAAAATCTTATTGGAGACCTACTCTGCCATGAGCTTTGAAAGGCTGTTTGCCAGCCAAGTTAACAGCCCATTTTCCCGTTTGTCATTAATGGGAGGGGCCTGTGCCTGCCAATCTGACTGCTTATCCTAGCAGATAAAACTAGGTGGTGAGGCTGGGGTGGCTGCTTCTCAGGCTCCCGGGCCAGGGACTCCCGGCTCCTAATGGTGCGTCCCATCTACTCCGTCCCCTGTGTCCCACAGGTGTTTGGCTTCTTTGCCACCATCGTGTTTGCAGTTGACTTCTACCTGATCTTCAATGACGTGGCCAAATTCCTCAAACAAGGAGGCTCTGCAGACGAGACCACAGCCAACAAGGCGGAAGGTGGGTAGCCACCCTGAGGGTTTCCACCCAGAACCCGTACCCCAGGACAGTCAGAGCAGAGGCCCTGCTCTCCCCATGGGGACACGTGGCTGGTTTGAGGCTGGAGTCAGAGCATTACTTCTTTCCCACAAGAAGGAAGTGTTTTCACAGCCTGGTTCTCAGATCCCTTCACGCAGCACTGATCATAAAGCCGGCCCCCCCGGGCTCCCCACGGCCTCAGCCTTTCCAGGAAGGCCCAGCTGAGGGCACGCCCAGGGGTGAAATGGTCCCTGACAAGCCCCCAGGGCAGCCAGTCAGGCCCTTCACCGCCCCCAGCCAGCGGCCCCTGCAGCCTGGCCTGCCTATGGCTTAAAGGCCCGTAGCACCCAGGCAAGTGAAGGCTTGTTCTGCTTTTCACATCCAAGGAGAGTTACAACAGACATTCCGGCCCCTCCAGCCATCCTTCAGCTCGGAATGGAGGTCGTGCGATTACCTATTTAAAAAAGAAAGAAAAAGGCCCCAAGTTGGATGGGTGGTTTTCCAGCTGTGACAACACAGCCATACCGTATTTCTGATCACAATATAAAATAAGGACTGGGGCAGGGCGATTGAAACTATAAAATGGCCAAAAAGAGGAGCTTCCTGATTTTCTAGTATATTAGAGTTTCTTGGACCCAAAAAAAAAAGTTTTCCCTCATTTTCCTGCTAAATTGTGGGGTGGGCCTGGGATATAGATATACCACCCTGGCACCCCAGGTGAGAACAGCTCAGGGAGACTGGGGGCACACTGAGCCCCAGAGGAAAGGGCATTTGGGCTCCCACCTCCGTAGCACCGTGAAGGTGACTACAGCTGCCTGTGGAGGGCACCAGCCCATGGCCTGGCTGGTCCTCCCCAGAGACGGCTCCCAGGCACCACCAGCCAGGAATCCCCTGCCAGGCCTCCTCTCTGCTTTCCTTGCAGAAGAGAATTCCGACTCTGACTCCGACTGAAGGGCCGCCCTACCCTGGCAACCCGAGCCACGCGGGCCTTCACCCCTGCACTTCTGACCGGCTGGCCGGAGCGTGGCCTGGGGACCGGGTGTGTTGGGAGGGAGGCTGTGGTTTCTTGAGCAGCAGCGGGCGTTGCTGATGGAGCGGGCCTCCTCGCAGCTTTCAGGTGACGCTTCTGCGCCCAGCACCCAGAAGGCACCCCTTGGCTTAGCGTGTCCAACCGCCCTGCACAGGAGGGCGTCATGAATAGCCTGCCACTCCTCTTTTCTGTTCCTTAGACGTTAAAGCCTTTAACCTCTCTGCCCAAAATAAGCACAAAGGGACAAAGCAGATAGAGCCTTGTTACCCCGTCACAGGACTATTTCATGCCAAGGGTGGGTAGGGGTAACGGGACAATGGCCAAGTAAGATAGAAGCCATCCAGGGGCCAGCCACCAACAGCCCTGGCCCCAGTGACTTTTGTCTGCATTTGGTGCCCCTGCTCATTCCAGGCACTTTGTCAATAATGATCCTTCCAAGATTCTTTGGTTCATGGCGCACCACTTCCCTCTTCATTTTTTAAGCAGGGAGAAAACTGCCCTTTGCTCTTGCCTGACACCTCACACCCTTGGAAACCATGCGTTCTTCAGGTGATGTGACTATTCTGGGTCTAAGACCATTTCAAAGAAAAGCTCGTAAAGTAGCTTACAAGGTCCAAAGGATCAAGGGTGTCAAACAATGCAAAAGCAGTGACAGCGTCCTGGGCAGCTGGGCAGGCCCAGTCCAGGCTTCTTTCCCTGGGAACCCACCTGCAGGCGACAGGCTCTTGGGCGCTCAGGACAATGTACTTCTAGACACCAGAGCAGGTCTCCTGACCACCTCATGGGAGGTGAAATGTGCCTTCTGTGTTCACCTAAGGACCTATGCTGTGTATATATCTTCAGGGGGACTTTGTAACTTTATATATTTTTTTACACCAAAGCATCTTCTTAAATAGCATTTCCTGTGACCCAAGAAGCCTTGTGAAAAATGAGCCAGAGTTCTGGACCCATTTGGGGGCATTTGTAACTTTTGTTGTTCTCTTGCATGTGAATGTCCTACCCTGAAAAAAGCCAACATGAATTAAACCGGAGTGACTACCTGCTTGGAATGTGTTTGAAAAAAACCCTTGGGGGGTGGGAGGTATAAGGGGACTAAATGGTAATAGGAAAAAAAAAAAAAATACAATGAAGATTAGATCAAAAAAAGAAAAGAAACTTACACCACCCAGAGCAATGCAGTCCAGGATCATGCTTCAGCCCAGACTGTTCACATCTACAGTGTGAATCCTGACAGCTCCAGGCTCCAGCAGCAGTAAGCGCCTTGCTCCATGCCAGGCACCCAGTAAGCGTCTCACGCGTGTGCTCTTACTTACTCCTCGCACAATCCTGTCTCACAGTCCAGGGAATTGACAGAAGGTTCGGTAACTTGCCCGGGCCACCACAGCCCCTTTGAGGAGGCCCAGGGCCTCTCACGTATCAGGGTAACATCCCATAGCATGAGTCAGGCAGCCAGGCCCTGGAGCTCTCGTGTTTGGACACCGGTTGGACAAGGGACCTGAGTTGGAGCCTGGGAGGAGCCTGGGGCCACAGCTGGCCTGGGCCGGAGGGAAGAGGCAAGGCATTCTGCCCCAAGTTGCATACACGTTCTGAAAACTGTGCAAGTTGCCTGTCCAGAGGCCAAGAGGGGCTCGTGGTGGGAGTTTCTGCCCCACTTTGCCAGCCCCAGGCAAACCCCCTTCAACACCTGTGCCAGAGAGGCTGCGCCCCATGGGCAGCGGTTGTGGTCCCCCCACCAACAGGCTTGTTTCAGGAAGTGGGTCCACTGCCTTCGAAGGGTCGGGGGTTAAGTCAGAGCATTGAAAGAGACAATACTATTTTTACATGTCCATTTATTAAACAAGAACTCCTTCATGACAATTTAATACAATATTAGCGATTAGTGTTGAGAAAATTATTTTCCCTCTACATACAAAAATACAGATTTGAACACTATGAAAACAATCAGGACAAGTACCATGAAAAATTGGTCCTTCAAAAGAAAGAAAGGGGGGAAATTGAGGGCAATGTGAAGCTTTGCCTGCTGTCAGGGATGAACCAACAGGAGCAAAAGGCTCTGGGGCCCCAAACCACTCCGAATGGAGAGAGTCACACCCAAGAGCCAGTCTGAGCCTGTGGAGCCCACCCTTGGGCACCTGTGTTGGTTTGGGAAGCCAGGGTGGCATCTCTGACCCGCCAACAGCATAAACCAAAAATTACCAAATGGGCTTCACTTCAGAACGCCCCACAGCTGTGTCTGAACTGTTAAAGGAAATAGACTTCTTGAAGCAAAGTGTAATGGTTATTAAATTAACACTGCTCCCCCAAAGTGCCACTGGGCCAAGTACCAATGAGTCATCCTGTTAAGAGTTATTAGCCACCTGACTTGACTTCTTTTGTTAGAAAATAATTACATATTCCGACCCTTCCAAAAGGACCAAAAAAGCTACAAATTTATGTTTCGATAAATCCATTCCTTCATGTTGCAATGGCTCAGCTAGTTTCCTCAAGATTTTTCTTGATCAGATTAGAACTCATGTCCTGTAGGGGTGGGAAAGCAAAAAGGGGCAGCTAGAGTGTTATCCTGTAATGGTTTCATCAAGCTCCTCACAGCAGAAAACCTGTTTTCTTCAGGCCCCAAACTAGTAAGGGCCCCGGACACGAACCAACCAGATCCAGTGGAAGGTGAGCCCAGGACCAGCAGGGGTCCCTCAGACGCAGGCAGCAAAGCCAAGCCAGAGAACACCCTCTGGTTCACTAGGCCCAGACAAAAGGCCTTTTCACCGGTTTAGACCCAGAGAAGGGAAGTCAGAGCACCAAGGATGTTGTTCTTTTCTCTTTTTATGGAACCACTTTTTCTGAGGTGAGCAGTGGCTCTCCAAACTGAACAAATGCTTTAAAAATGCCAAATACAGTTATAATGATTAAGAATTATTTCACAGAAATATACTCTTACTCTCAGACTATTTAAATAAGCAGAAACAAGATGTGGGGGAGAAAGCAGCAGAGAGAAGATAGGAACAGCCAGGGGTGGTTTTTGTCATTTTCTTTTTAAAAATACATATGAAGTTTAAAGGGAAAATGGCCAACCTCAAAACCAGCATTGCTGAAAGCAATATCAAAAGGACACAATCTAAAATCATGCTACAAAAATAGTGTTATCTGATTTAATTAAATGTACATCTTTTTTTCAATTCCATGATTAACAAGAGTGTTTATGTGACTGACACGGAAGGCACCAAAGGTGAAGTGATTATTAGTTGTCTTAAAATATACAAAGACAGAATTACCTACTTTGGGGAAAAAAACATAGTCATACCTATAATAAATAGTTAAGTGTTTTTCCCACGGGTTCCTGAACCCCTACAAATTTCAACATATACAAATAGCTTCGATCCCTAGCATTCTCTTAGAGGGAACCACAACAAAAATCAAGTTACTAAAAGCACTAGCTTTATCCACCTATGTCATTTCATCGTGAGGCAGGGTTTGAAGACTCATTTTTAAATGGGCTGATGGGGTGAAAGAGTTGAAAGCAGGCGGCCCCTCCGCAGGCCTGGGGGGCCATCCTTGGCACCTGAGCCAGCCTTCCCCCGGCCTGCACCAGCCTTTTCTTCCTTCAGGCCCCAAATATTTGCCTTCCTCGCTTAAGCAGAGAGGGGAACAGAATCTTGAAACTTGCACATCAATTCTGGAAAAGCCCCCACGGAGGGAGGCAGCCATCAGGCAGACCGGGCCATGCCCGGCGCGGCTCCGGTGAGGACACAGTCCGCAGTTCCCTGGCCTTCCCCGCCGCTGGCTTTCCTGAACAGGCGCTTCCTACTGGGTTCCACCAGGGCCCCCCAGAGAGGACTTGGATTTGATAGTTTCCGATTACTACTGAATTGCTAACAAACCTTATCGGAACCAATTGTGTCACAACTTCTCCTCTGAGGCACAATCCTGAAAAGAAACTAAGGGCCTCACCCTAATCCATCCACAAAGGTCATCTGAGACAACTTCCTCCTCTCAGAAAGAACCAGAAAAGTTCTGATGGCTCATTAGAGCCCAGGCTATTAACCCCTTAATGAAGGCTCTCCAGCCTTTGAGTGTAATGCATCCCAAACCACTCCAGGCTGTCTGAATTAAGGTCTTAGCATTAAAAATGTAGACAACAAACTAAGCCTATGAAAAAGATATACTAATCAAGGATCCATAATCTAAACTTTAGGAAAACCACCACTGAGTCATTCAAACTCAGTGGGCTTGTGGGTAACTGTTCTTTACTATTATGCTTACAGAATATGACAAAGTAGGGGGGAAAAAAATCTCCAAGGTTGAGAAAATATACCCAAATGGAATAAGAATACGACCTAGACCAAAGAAGGGAAACTGTATCAGGCCCCACTCCTCTGTTTCAAGCCTAAGAGGGTGCAAATGCCATTTACTGGTGCGAAGGCAAGTCAAACAGAAGATTCCCTTCCAGAAGACAAGTCTTCTAGATCTAACAGATAATGGGAGTATTTTCTTTCAGTGACAGTTTCAAAATGAAAGAAATGTAAAGGGTCAAATATTTCAAATTACCTTCTCACCAGAGAGCTCTTATAATTTCAACAATACCTGATGAGAAGAGAAGAAACCCACGGTTTTGTAAAGAGCTGGGCAGTTCACAAGGCAGTGTCCAGTCTGCGTCCTCTCTGGGGTGGCCCCCTAGCCAGAACCTGAGTCACCTGTTAGCGAGTTCCCAAGCTCAAAGCCAAGAGCCCTGCTGAAGCGCTAGGGCACCCTGGTCCCCACCTTCAGCTCTTGCTCTCAAGCTGATTCCAGAATAAGACCTCACGTTTCCAAAGACAAGAGGATAGAAAGGTAGTTAACCAAATACATTTCTTCAAGACTTCCTGGGTCGGGAGCCAGTCTAGTGTTAGCAACAGACCCACAGCAGGCGGAGTCTGGGCCGCAGGCCCCTCCTCTCGCCTCTCAGACCTGCCCCTGCTCCCGCCTCACCAGCCGGTCACCTTGCTGGTCCTAAAAGTGGGTGCTGACAAAATAAGCAAGATCTGGGGAAGAGAGAGACCCTGGCTTCTACAAACTTCATTAGGAAATTACAAAGCCGCCTGGAGATCTCACAGGCTAATGGCAGTCCCTGGAGCAGGAACCAACTTTTTGTTTTGCTCGAGAGAAAATAAATCGGCAATGAACGAATCAGCAGCAGACCTCAACCTAAAAGTGTTTGTGCCTTTTGTTACCTGTTTAGTGTCATTATTTTCCTTTAAACAAGATATGGAGAAAATGAGAACTGGGCAGTGTGGCTGGACAACTTCATGGTTTCTTTGTTTCGAACACAGACGGCACCATGGGAACCACATCAATCATCACTGCCTTCCAGAGTCACTAATTGGCCACAGGTCGTTGCTGTACTCTCCTTATCTGTTAAGACAGGTTCTAAAAACAACCCGCAGAAAATCTTGCACAGCCAGAGATTAGAACTTGGTCCACCTCTTAAGCACACAGAGAGGTGAGGGGTTTCTTCCCAAACAGCATGAGTGTCCACAAGAAAAGGTGAGGTTGGGCCACACACAGGACATGACAGATGGAGGGGTCACTCAAGGTTATTCGCTGCAAACAAGAATTCACATATATGTGCACACAGAAGAGTAAGTGCTTCATCTCCTCGGAGACTACCTATGGCTTAACACGAGTCAATCACAAACCTTCAAAGACAAGTCAATGAAGCTGCAAACTTTAACAGTAGGAATGTTTTCAAGTGAGTCACAAACTCCAAGTGTGTCAGAAGCATCCAACACAGGGTGGACGTCAGATACACTCCATACCTACCCAAGGGCTTCAGCATTCCTGCCGGGATGGTAATGGTGTCCAAAGGGCTGTGGTGTTGCCCCGAGCCAGGCCCTCAGAGCCAGGACCAGGTCCTTGCTGGCTTCCCTGTGGCCACGCTGGGCTCTCCTGATGCTGGCCCTTCAGTTCAAGTTGCCAAGGAAGACATGGGTGAGCGTTGGGACTGGGCGGGCCACTACATTCTGGCCTTTATGTAGGCAAAGGTAATCTCTCTTGAATGACTATTGCTGCGGAGTAAAAATCTAAAATAAAATACTTTACTATAAATCAAACTTCTGATATTTTAATCTGTAAATGCCTTGGTCCTTCCCCAGATTTATATGGGGCCAACAAATGTCTGTAGGCTTTCATGACTGCAATCTCTCTGTATAAAAGGGAGACGGTGTTTCCCTTCATGACTTCAAGCAATGTAAAGAGACGGTAAAGGAGAATCAGAGAAAAAAATGACCACATTCACCAAATCAGTGCCAAGATAAACTTCCTCTGACGACGTAAGTGTTCGCATCCATCTAAAACCACCAAATGCTTGAGGGTTTCAACCATACAGCCTCCAGGAACAAATTCAAATGCACAAAGCAACTGTAGTTTTCAGGTTTGGCACGAGCTATGGAAGCCATTATCATCCCACCAGAAAATTAAGAGCCACTAAGATTGCCTCTGCCTGAAAATGCCCCAAAACAAACTGACATTGATCCATATTCTAACTATGAAACAAAAAATACACTTCCTTCAATTTGCAGGGAAAAGTACTTTAAGCCCCCCAAAATCTAGACTGTCTTCCCTGTATACAGAGGCAACACAGAAAAATGCAGGTGTCTTTACATTCATCTAGACAAACATATTCCTTCCTAACTTCTTCCCATCACACTGCCACGGTGACAAGAGAGATGACTGTGCATCACACCAATCAGAGAACCTGGCTGGCTACTTCTGGTTGTAGTAAGAGCTAATTAAATAGACATATATTTACTGAAACCATAGGAGAGCCTCATGGCACAAAGGATATTAAATAGTTCCAGGGACATAAATAATTCCAAAGATTCTAACACTAAGATGCAAATTAACTCCTAAGTCACTCTGTGGCACAAGGTGTCGTCACTTTTTGTCATCTATCAGCATTTACAGTTTCCATGGGCTTCAGAACCGTTTCATGCAGCTGACGACACATCCTCAGGAGGCCAACAGGCTCCTTTTCACCAGATGATAAACTGGTCTTATTGAAGTGACTTGGGAAAACTTGGGCCTGAATGGTATTCTTTTCTTCAATCTCACTTCAAAGGCGGTTTTTTATTGAGGCCAAGTAACATGATTCCCAGCAGGAGATGTCTGATAAAGTTCAGGGTGGTCCTTCCAAATGGGCCCCATTTAATGCAAGGCTGAGTCTTTGTGACCCAGTTTTTAAATGGAACTCACAGAGGGAGATAAGTCTAATTTTGACTAGGCATACACACTCAACAAATGCAAAATAAATACATAAAATGAATAGATAAAATCCAGATGTCAGCATCTTCTCAAAAATCACTACATATAATAGGTTCAAAGCTTGTGAGGCATGATTTGCCCTGCCTCACAACAGACGTGGACGGAAAGCGGGCGCGAGCAGACCCGCCGGGCAGCGCGCCCAGCTGAGGCCAGTCCCGCTGCCCTCTGGGGGAGCAGAGGGAGGCGAGTTACCGCCATGCCAGCTGGGTCTGCACCAGCAGCCATGGCCCCTGAAGCAGACGAAGGGGTTTGCACATGTGACCTGGGCCACTGCCCGGGGAAGGAACTGCAGCGGAACTCAGACAGTGCGGGATGCTCAGTGCGGGGAGCTAACCCCTACCCCGCCCCGCCAGAGACAGCACAGTACCGTCTCCCACGCGATCCCCAGCCTAGCGCTGTCACCCGATCAATCCCCCGACGCTGCTCTTTTATGAAGAACGCAATGCCACACGTGCAGAGATGGACGCTTTCTGACACTTGCTCCCTTCCCACCACGCCCAAAGACATACTCAGTCTCCCTCTCGTTGCACCGTATGCTGCCGAAGTGGCGATCGTCCACTGGCACGAGACTCTGGGGATTCTCCAGGTTACTGCAAAATCGTCCCACTTTCCCACCAGCAGTAAAAGTTTTTTCCTTGGTGAGGGCCAATCACAAAATATTAGAGCTAGAGTGAGGTTTGTAAACATTAAAAACAGTTCAGAGTGAAAACCTGACAAGTTAAAACAATTTTTCCATAAAAGATACAATTAGTCTCCAAAAGGAAAAAAAACATTACAGCATCATAGGGGCTCCTTTAACTCCTTCCCCACAATAATCTTCACTCTATCAGGAATCAATTCAGAACCTAACATACCTAGAATTCTTCCCAACAACTTCTAAGATGGATGTTCATAGTTATGACCCGAGGCACAAAAAGCTACAATCCGTGCCTTCTGAAATATCAGTGAAAGAATACATGGTGCAAATTCAAGTATTTTCAAATCCTAGGCAAGCCTACTCAGAATCACTTTAGAACTCTTCTCAGGTATTTGGAAATTTGTACACATCTCTAAAACAGAGGTGTGTCCCCACCTGTGGTCCAAACGGGCAAGTGTTCTGGCTGGTGGAATGGATCGAATTTCTTTCCTGGCTTTTACCTGAAAAGGTAAAATTACAGAAAATCTTCAATTCAACCTCGAAGTATTAAGACCAGGGTAGGCAAGAGAGTGAAAAACAACATGGTCCCCATATTCCTGGAGGAGAATCTGGGATTCGGGGAGGTTATTCATTTGAGGAAGAATCGATTTCTCAGTCGGGTGGGAAATGACAGGGGACCCTCCCGACCGTCAGCAGTCCTGTGGAGCCGTTCTAAAGGGACAGCAGCTTTGCTCATCCCCACGAAGTACAGGCCCAGCCAAGAGCTCCCCCAGCACGCCCATCACCATGACCCTCAATGACACACATGGCTTTCGAGGCCTGGGCTGGCTGTCCCGATGCCCCCGGCACAGGAGACGAGCAGAGGGCGGGGGCCCTGACGGCGAGAGGAACACTGACGGAGCTCGCTACGGGGCTGCCCAGGAATCACCGCTGCCAAAACCGTTCCAGCCTTATGCCTGCATTCCTTGATTTCCAGCCCCTCCTGGCAGCTCCCATTTAATCCAACGTGTGGACTTGTCACAAATACATATGACAGGGTGGCTCAGAGTCAGATGGGAAGCCTGTGCTCGGGGACAGTGAGGACCTGAAGTGGACATGGCAGCCAGGCAGGCCAGCTGTTCCCATGGCCACCAAACACTGGAGAAGCTGTAGGTCTCTCCCACCCACTTCTGTCTGAACAGCTGGGTACATGGGTTCTCCACCTCACATACCTGCTAACAGGGCCACTTGGGGGGCGGGGGACACCCTTTCCCAAAATGAACTTTTACCAAAGAGGACAAAATTCAGCTTAATCACATAAAAATCTGACGTGACAAGGGAAAGAAAACTTGATTGAAAGGATGGACACGAGGATGAAAGGGAGGAGGACTCTGGTGGGTCCTCAGGTGTCCAGGCGCTGGATCTCAGGGCGACCGTCCACGTCTCTGGACTCCGTGCGGGCTCGGATGTAGTCGTTGGCACTCTGCTGGTGGATGCTGACTCTCCACTTCTGCACTGCCAGGAATGTGTTCACCGCATAGGCCGCAGTTGCCAAGAAGCCAAATATCTACAAGAAACAGCCACAGTTAGTCCTTAGACACATCAGCAGTCTACGAGGCGTCTGGGCAAGCGCCCTAGCAGTTTTACAGAGGTGCCCCCGACACCTAGCCCCGCTGAATGCTTAGTTGTCAGACCAGGGCCAAATCTACAGTCATGTGACTCACCTAAGTCATGCCCGACGTGAAGGCAGCCTAAGGTTTCTTGCAAAGTGTTTTGGATCTATTTTTTTTTTTAATAAAAAAAAAAACAAACAAAAAAACGCCTCTTATATGGCACCTTCATGGTCACTGCTCCCAGATGAGAATATACAGGTCGACAAAATACCATATGCACAGAAAATCGGGGGCGCACGTGTGAGCCCAACTCAGGTCCCAAGGCCTGACATTCCAAATCACAGCCCCTGAACGCCCACCTGCTCTCCAGCTGCCTCTCGCCTGGGCAGCTCCAGGGTGAGAAGCAGCAAGCCTTGGCTTCGTTCATTACAGCTGATGAATCTAGTGGACCGACACCTGGGAGAGCAGCTTGTTCAATACTTTCTCTGAACCTTTTGATCCTTCCAGGAGAAAAGTGCTGCGCAGTCTTTGTAATGCAGCCCACAGAGAAAGTCCTACATTATCCGGTTCCCACCCCACCCCCATGGCCTTCGACTTTGAAGAGCAAAAAAACATCCCCCAACTGCTAACTGGTGTCAAGACTGTGTTCTTCATTAAGACCCCCACCCTGGCAGGTAAGGCTTTTAAAGGCAACACCGCTGACAGACATCCCGCGTCCTGCTGGAAACAGACTAAAGCAGTGGTTCTCAAACTTGAGGGTGCATCTGAATCAGCCGGAGGGCTGGTTAAAACACGATATTGATCCCAGAGCTCTGCAAGAGCCTGAGAATGGCATTTCTAACGAGTTCCTGGGTGATGCTGAGGCTGCCATTCTGGAGACCACACTTTGAGAACCACAGCACTGAAGAAACTGGGATCTCCGCTGGCCCAATAACGACTTCATTAGCCAAGAAAAAGCTGAAGGAGAATGAGTAGGACACATACTAGGAGACAGAGGACAGAAAGTCACAAAAAGCATACAAATCAGCCCAAGTTTTAACCACTTGAGTTCACCTACCACGGCAGCAATTTCTGCTCCGGTTTTGTGATTTAAAGCAGCCAGTACAATCGAAGCAATAAAGAAAAAGAAAGTGCTGAGTCCAGTGTTGACCAAATCCTAAAGAAAAAGATAAATAAAATGACTTAAAAAGAGGCATTTCATACTTTGCCCTCAAAGCCACTGAGGAACTTTCAAAATAAGAAGCACGATACCCGGCCTCTCTGATGGCTCCATGGCCCAGGTGTGTTGGTCACACAAAGGCGGGTAAAGATGGTAACAGTGTGTGAGGCGACTTGATAAAGCACCACAGCAGAATCCATATTACCATTTCTTAATAACTTATTACAGAAACCCAAGCTGCTAACCCATCAAGGCCATGCACAATAATTATCATTCACAGGTCTACTGCCTTCTTTTAAAAACTCATTCAAATCATCCTGGCATAGACAAAGCTCCCCAAAAATCCAGAACAGCAACTTTCAACCGGTGTGCTACAAGAATTTAGAAACATGCAATACCTGACTGACTTAGGGGCACTGACTTCTTTTCCCTTAGATTGTCAATTAAAAAAATAACAGCCAACATAACAATAGCCATCCAGTGTGAATGAATCAAAATTATACCTATTTTTTTGTCAGAGCAGCAAAAAATATATTTTTTGGTGTGCCGCAGAATTTTAGTAATGTGCCGTGAGGTGAAAAAGGTTGAAAACCACTGGTCCAGAATGTACTGAAATGGGTGAAGTCCTCTCAAACATCCCCTTAGTCATCTGTGACATTTCCAGCACAGTTTCCAGACCTAGAGAACACACTTCCCCAGACCTCCTGCTCTTTCATAAGCATGGTCTTTTAAGCCTCTCTGTTGTTAAACCCTAGCGATTTGCTCCTAAGCTTCCTGCCAAGCAAATCAGTTACACATCCAGTGTTTCAAAGATTTAGCTCCTGTCTTACTTGTCAAGAGAAACACAGCACAACGATTGAGTCACAGCCAGATTCGGGTCCTAACCAACCACGACTCTGGACAAGGCAATTCACTTCTCTGCATTTTATGTGGGAATAGTACACCCTCCTCCCAGAGCTGTTTTAGGGATTAAATAGAACAAAGCACGTGAAGAGCCAAGCACCCTGCCTGGTCTACTGTTAGCATTTCCTACACATCCATTGTTACTTCTGTTATTCCTACTTTGGCATTAGGCCCTGACAGCCAGGGTCATACCAGAGTTCCTCTGTGGCCTCTACACGGAGCAAAAAAAATTAGGTAAAATTCTAAACTGCTTAAAGTGCCGGACCGGACCATCAACACCAGGTAGGTTGTCTTGGCCGCCTGGCTTCAAGGTCTTATCTCCTCTTTTGAAAGATGCAAAAAGGCAACGTTCCCATCAAAACAGTACTGAGCTGGTGCAGCAGGAACCCCAACACACTCCTGGTCAGTGCTTCCACACGGGGTCAAGGGGAGCAGCTAGTGCTGACTTTGAAACTGTTCAGAGATGTCTGCCAGCAGGTACAACTTCAGCTGTGACCAGTGTGTTAAGCCAGAACAAATTTTTCACAAATTCACACCAGGAAGTGTTTTGTTATGCTCAGCTTTGGGTAAGGTACTGGAGGAATGCAGAGAAGACTATAAAATGTAGTTTCTGACCCAAAGACTATTCCAATATGAGGAAAATGTCTTATGATATAATGTTGAGGCCAAATATCAAACAAAATAGTGTGCACACTAATGGTGACTACATAAAAATATAAATACGGTAAAGGGCCTATAGATAACAAAGGTTTTGAAAAGTTTCATGTTATTTGTTCATAAATCCTATATTTGGACTTCATCTTAAATACCATACTTGCACCAAAAGGCCTAAGTATAAGGATGTTCATTGTGATATTATTTAGAACAGCAAACGAAGCAAACAAAATGCTCAGAAATAGAGGATCTGTTAAATAGAATGGTATTCCATAAAGGAACATTATGCAGACTTTAAAAATAATGATATGGTTATATACTTAACATAGAAGACATTTAGGACAGTTTAAATGAAAAAGCATGACTTTAATGGTTCCATTTTTCTTTACTCACATATCACAAACATACATGCGTATGTGAAAGACAGTCTAGAGAATATAGTCTAGAAAGTTACACCTAAGTATTACAAGTGGTTACCCCTGAATGGGTTGTATCACATAAGATTTTTCTAACAGTTTTATTGAGATATAATTCACACATCATGTAATACACCCAATTAAAGCATATTATTCAATCACCACAATCTAATTTTAGAGCATATTCAGCATTCCAAAAAGAAACCTCCTACTCATTAACAGTTAATTCCTCATCCCTCCCCTAATCCTAAGCAACCACCAGTTGGCTTTCTGTCTCTATGGAGTTGCCTATTCTAGACATTTCCTATAAATAGAATGATACAGCAAGTGGTCTGTAGTGACTGGCTTCTTCCACTTAGTATAATAGTTCTAAGTTTCAATCATGTTGTAGCAATACTTTATTTCTTTTTATTACTGAGTAACAACATTCCATTGTACAGATACACCACATTTGATTTATCTTTTCACCAGTTTCTGAACATTCCTATTTTTTGGTTATTATTATAATGTTACTATAAACATAGAAAGTTTTCTGCAGACATATGTTTTCATTTCTTTTGGGTGAGCATGTGATTTTATTTATTCTATGTTATTATCGACATCTTCTAGTTTTTCTATAACAGACAATACTTCCACAGTTTCCAGAGTACTGCAAGAGTTAGTCAACATCAGCTGTTTGAGTTCTTTAGCCATGAAACAAAATCAAGGCTCTCTTCACGTGCCACTTATGTTAGGGGCATGCACAGACATGCCCCCTAGATGTAGATTTTTGAGAATTTTTAGTCAATGTTGATGCTTAATTTTTTAAAAATACTTTTAATGGGACATGTGCTCCATAAGCCACGTTTTCCAGTTTGCCACGCTCGTCCCCGTTCCTTGCGGCCTCACACTCAGCCACTTTGTTTCCTGTCTGGCCCCTCAAAAACCCAGGGTTGCAGCCCTCCTATGCTCGGAGAAGAAGAGGAAGGTCACTCTCATGTACACATGTTTTCGAGTCCCTTCTTCAATAACACACCGGTTAAGTACAGGTGTGACCCCAGGGAAAGCCAGTAACAGATCCAGGGGATCTGGCCTAGAGGCCTGTTGGCCGTATCTGACCCACAGATAGGTTTGGCTTGTATAGTGTTCAAAACAAATTTCAACAAGCCGACATTTAAACATCAGAAGCCTGCATATAAAAGCTAACTTCTAAAAACAAACAAACAAACAAACAAACAAAACCCCCAACTTCAGCCGCTCTTGAAAAACTGTTCCAAGAGTCCCATGAAGCAACAACACGACTGGCCGGGGCTGAGTAGGAGAACCACCTTCTCCACCACCTTGACCCCCGGCCCATCTTCTCAGTGGCCCGTGGCCCATCTGCGTCACATGCCCAGCCCCAGCGGGCCCCGAGTCCGTAACCCTGTGCCAGCCAGTCCCAGAAGCCGGCCATCCTACAACATGCCCTGCCCTTCCGCACTCTGTGTCCAGGGAGCACCCAACTGGAATCCTGCATTTTTCTCTCACTCCGGTAACCCACCGCCTCCCTGCCAGTGCTGGCCTCACACAACAAAGCTGGACCACAGAGCACACCTAACCATAGCGGGGCGGCTTGCATCTCCCCACCCTGCGCTTCGGGTTCCCAAAACCTGGCATAAAGCCGGTGTGTGAGAAATGATCACAAATGAGGCAGGCCCAGCCCTGGACTGTCACTGCAATCGCTTCCAGACCACTGGGCTCTGTGGCTGGCTCTAGCCTCCGCACTACACACGGAGACAGGAAGTTTACAACCAACACTGTGCGCGGACTAGTGTTCAAATGGCCCCAGTATCAAATGGACAATCACCATACTCATGACAGTAGTGACTACCATCTTGGAGAGTCTTTTGTGCCAACCATATAACTTAGTGTCTCACTGAATCCTAACCTAGTTATGATCCAAAATATCTGTAAGACAGGAGAGGTTATTTTGGTCTTCCTTTAAAAATAAGGAAATTAATCCCAGAGAAGACGAGTGTGGCTAATGAAAAATATATATTTTGTCTTTCCTCCTAGTTACTTAAAATTTCCTGAGTGACAGGAGCATCTTTCATCATTCTTAGTGAGCCCCTTTCCATGGTCCCTGAGTTCATGCTAACAAAGTGACTCTGGAGCCCCGAGATAGTTTCAGAATGAGGGATGGTTACCAGAAAAACCAACCAGGTGATTAAAGGGCTGAAATTTCCAGCCCTGCTACCCCCAAATTCCGGGGAAGTGAGAGGAGCTGGGGGTTGAGTTCAATCTCCAAATGGCCAATGGTATAAATAATCATGCATACACGATGAGATTTTCACTAAAAGCCCTGAATGACAAGGTCCGGGGAGCTTCCGAGTTGGTGACTACATCCACGTTGCACCCCACTCCTTGGACTCTTCTGGACCCTGCTCTATGCATTTCTTCTTCCATTTGGCTGTTTCTGAGTTGTATTCTTTATAATAAACCAGTAATTATAAGTAAAGCACTTTCCAAAGTTGTTCTAGACAAGTACTGAACCTGAGGAGGGAGGTGTGGGAACTCCGGAATCTGCAGGCCGGGCAGAAGTGTGGGTCACCTGGGAACCCATTTGTGGCTGCTGTCTGAAGTAGGGGCAGTCCCATGGGACTGTGCCCTTAACCTGTGGAGTCTGTGCGAACTCTAGGAGTTAGTGTCAGAACTGAATTAAACTGCTGAACACCCATGTTGTGGGGGAATTAGAGAACCACTTGGTATAAAAAAGCTACATGAATTTTTTTTTTCAGGAAAAAAACACACATTTGGTTCAAAAGTGGTGTCGGAAAGCACCACATGATGAGTCACGGCCAAGGCCTCAGGGCTCTGCAAGTGAGCCCTCTGGGAGATTCCAGACTGTTCTCAACTCACCACAGCACTCAGCCCAGTTTCCCAGAAAGGGAGCGGTCTGTGGGAGGGGCAGGGGCCACCAAGGCCACTGAAAAGGAGCACCAAGGAGAAAAAAGGAAAAGCCGGACAGTGTGGTGTCCCGGGGGCCAGAGTACAGAGTCCGCCGGAAAGACTGAGTGCTCCAAAGCAGGCACCTCTGAAATGTTTAGTGGGGGGGAAAGTGAAGAATGACCAGGTCCAGGAACACAGAGGCCCCCAATGCTCCTGAGCAGGGGACCTTCAAGGACAGAAAGTCAGGACAGTGGACTAGCATGAGCGCAGGGAGTGGAGGCGCTATAATTGACTTTGGGGAGACCACACGAGGCTTTGGGGATACTGACACTATCCTACCCCTTGACCCAGGTGATGGCTACATAATCTTTATCATTCGTCATTAAATTGTACATTTACTTTTACAAGTTCTTCTGAATATGCTGTATTTGACAATAAAAGGTGAGAAAAGAGAGATTAGAAGATCGGGAAATCGTAAGGCATATACAGACCTCCCTTCTCTTTACAGGAGTTTGGATGAGCAGGAGAGTGGGAGCCCCTGGCAGCTTTTTTGGTGGTAGGCAAGGAATGGGAGAGGGATGGGGGTGGCGGAGGAGGCAAGTGGCATTAATCAAGGTAAACAGAGGTGAAACAATGAGTGTGCGAGTTTCGAGCTCCGAATATACAGAGAAAAACAAATGTAGCAGAATTGTCCCATAGATTTAAAAAAAAAAAAAAAAAAAAAAAAAAAAAAGGCCCCGGCTGGTGTGTCTCAGTGAACTGAGCACCAGCCTACAGATGGAAAGGTTGCAAGTTCGATTCCCAGGTGGGGCATATGCCTGAGTTGCGGGGCTACCGATTGATGTTTCTCTCACACATCCCTGTTTCTCCCCCTCTCTTTCTCCCTTTCTCCCTGTCTCTAAAAATAAATAAAATCTTTTAAAAAACTCAACTAACAATACCCAATACAATCTCAATGTATTGTAAAATCCAATACAATCTCAGTGCATCAAATTATGCTTATATAAAATATATTCCTTCCATCATCCTCCTTATTTACCATTTTCATGCACATTTGTGTCAACATAGGCTCCTGAAATGACCCATTTTTCTAAATCTCTACCAATCACACCCTATTTCACTCATCAGCTGGCTCCCTTGTGGACAAAAATACTCCCACCACCTCGTTAGAAAAGCACACATCCAAGGCCAACCCTCCGTAGTGACTGGATGAACTGCGACTGACCCTGAAAAACTCACTTTTGCTCTCCTCCCAGAGAACAGATGACCAAGCACCCTTCAGTAAGTGCCACCTCCTCAAGTTCTTATAACTCACATACCCCTTTGCTGGATATGCATACATCTTCTTCTGCTCTAAAAGAATGAAAGTTCTGGAAAGGGTCCCAAAGGATAGAAAGGTGTTCCAAAGTGGCACATCACCACCCAGGACTTGCCCCAGCCGACACCATCCGGGAGACAAGGGTTAACATTTAACTTCCCAGTGACGAAGGTGCATTTTGATATGACGAGAGGAGGTAGTCAACAAGCAGAAAGTCTTCCGTGATTAAAATAGAAAAATTGATATTTCAGAAAGCTCACTATCTAGGTATTTCTGGGGATAAAACCCAGAACGAATTAGTAAGAAATCTGATATATGAAGTTTTTTAACAGATTCATCTCTATCAAATAAGCAAATAAGACAGAATTAAGGGAGTCAAGTCAACCCTGAAGAGAGAAGTCTACGGGAGAATGAGGTAGCTGACGGACAGCAATAAGAGCCTCTCACATGTGCTAAGATGAGTATTTCTGACTGATAGCAGCGACCATTGGTTTGAGTGCTTTTATATACATTGTCTCATTTCATTCTTAAAACAACCTTGTAAAAAAATATATTATCATCGTTACCAGTGGTGGAACTTATGTAGGACTCTAACTGCCTTGCCCCAGGGTCACTGCGAGCCCTTAGGAGCCATCGTGGACTTGAACCTCGACAAGTCTGTCGGACTCAAAGTCCCTGGTCTTAGCCTTTTGGGCAGCCACTTCTTTGTCAAATACGTTTTCCTGCAGATTTCATTCAAAGCCCACCCAGGTCCCTCCCTCAACAACTATTTACTGAGAAAGCTATAGAAACACAGGGATCTGGCATGCCAGCGAACCTTGCCCCCAGGAGACAAGGAAAATGACCTTACCCCACAGAGCTTGCATTTTGTTTGGGGGAGTTGTGTGAGGTTCTCTTTGCTATCTGTCTACTACACTATCAACTCAGGTAACAACTCTGCAAGCATTTTCCTATCAATAACACAAACTTTATCTTAAAAATAGTTGAGACATTAAAAGCGGTCACAAAAACTCAAGACAAAATGCCTCCGGTGTCTTGAGGTTTAGACTTTAAATGTAAAGTTAAATTACATTTTTCTCAGTTTTTCAATGCTGAGACAAAACCGAGTTTTCAACAGACATCAACTTTTTTGGTTCAGTTCTGCTCTTATTTTTCCTCCTGAAACAATTTGAACAACACAGAGAACATTCTGTCAGAAAGACCCTCTGCTCTGGGCACCCCACACGATCACCATGGGAGTGGCCCTGCTAGGCAAGGTGACCAGCTCCGGCCCCCTCCCATGGACCACACTTTCCATGGCGCCACACACATCAGCCCCCGCCACAGGGAGAGGAGCTCTGCCAGGGGTAGCTGGTCTCAGCGCCCTCCACTCCTCCCACTGCTTGCTTAGCAGCTGTAGGGCCCACAGGGTTTTCCTCCCCAGGCACAGAAGGGTGAGGCAGCCGAAGGCTCTCCTGAGTTTCCCTGATTCTCTTTGAGCGCTTGCACATGCTTATTTGCAAAGAAACATCAAGAAAACTAAACGCTAATAAGTTTCCTACCTCATTTAGTGCAGCAAAACAGGTAACACAAGCCTAGGAACAGGGGCCTGGGAGTGCCCAGCTGGAGGTTCCCACGCTGATCGGAGGGTAAGGCTGCCAGAGACGGCTTTTGGAACCCAAACCACAGAGAAAAAGAGGAGGACACATCTCCACTCAAGACTGATCAAACTACTAAACCTTCCTTCCAGCCCTCCCAGTTGCTTTGAATTTAATAATAATCTTAGGCTTTGCATTTTCATTCCTATTTTTAATTCTCCCTGAGTCAATACTTTTGTAAATGGCTTTTGGATCCAGTGTGGAAAATATGCAAAAACGCATTAATTCCATTTTCTCTTTCCCATATTCTATACATACCAACATTACCAATCTTCTTGGAGGATCATGAAATTGAAATGACATTTTTAAAGAAGTCAAATAATTGTTATGATATTCCTACCATTATTGAAGATTCCATTTATGTTATAATTTTATTCAAACCAGTACAGAAATTTAAATTTGTACAGTCGAATTACGATAGAATATTTAAGTATCATAATGAACTGGAACCAATTCATTGGAGAGATTCCAACTTTCCCTTGGAGCCAAGTAGCACCTTATCCTTTCATAGTCAAAGAGTGGTGACTTGTACTCACTGTCAGGTTCCAGTTGATCTGGGGGATCCTCATGTGAAGGTTGAGACTGAACAGAATCAGCAAGACTCCAGTCACCACAAATGCACTACAGCTCACAAATTCAAAAAAGTAGAGGCCTTCACACGGGGAGCACTCCATGATGGTCTCTATGCAGATGAACGCAATCAAAGCCAAAATCTAGGAAGAAAATCAGAAACATACATGTATATCTGTATGTAGTACACATCCGCAGACAAATGTGCCTGCCACATTTAAACAAAACTCACCACCACCACCATATGCAGCCATAGAGTTTTCCTCCGGGGATGGCAGTTATCACGGTCAGGAATATGGCCTGATTCACTTCTTACATAAGTATGTGAAGGTACGGAGCGTTTACCAAGTCCCTCACGTGGACAGCTAAGCCCCCACCACAGTGCCCTGGAACCAGTTAGGTGTGGTGCGGCCCTTGTGAAGAAGCAGAAAGAGACACCTCCACGATGTTTTTAGTTCTATTTCTGCCTCGGGTAAGTGACACTGACTATGCACATTTCTAATTTATAGTCTCTACCCTAAAAATGAGGCCCACTTAATTAATTCATGAGCTATGCTTTTTTATTTAAATCCTCACCCAAGGATATGTTTATTGATTTTAGAGAGAGAGGGAAAATATCGATGAGAGAGAGAACATTGATTGGTTGCCTCTCATACATGCCTCCGGGATTTGAACCCACAACTTAAGATAAGTGCCCGGACCGGGATTCAAGCCTACAACCTTTTTCTGGAGAATGAAAGTCTTTGGTTCTGTAGAGAATTATAAGGAGAGCCATTAGGAGAAGCAAAAAGTATATGCTTAAAAACCCGTATCTGTAATGTGTTGGTTATAACAGAGATGTGAAAAATACCACATATTGTTAGGACACTCCAACCAACAGAGCCACGTGGCCAAGGCACAAGCTATGCCTTTTCAAAGTTTATCATTGGACTTGATCAGTCTGGCTATTGATGAAAACATGGTTAAATCTACCAATAATAAGATCAATTTTCTCTGAAGGATCAAAGTAACATTTTAGCAGTATGTCCCAAGAGATGGGAGATCATAAAGTTAAATAGGCATCAATGGAAATTACCCAGTGAACTTTTAAAAGAAGATTTCAGGAAAAGCAAGAAGCCCAAAGCCTGAGTTAACGGGCGCTGTGATCAAGGAAAGGTGTGGTAGTCTTACACCTAAAACCAGACCAGTCTTGGGCTCCTGGCCTCTGCTTTACTTCTTCAACTGAGCACCTGACAACCTACGGAGCACCTGAGGAGCACCTGACAAGCTATCGTATGTAAAGCCTACCCCGGAGCTTCCAGGCCAGGCCCCGCCTCAAAGGTCAAGGTAGTTTGGGGAGGCAGCTCTGTGGTCCCAGGTTTGCCTTTAGAGCCAGAGACGTCAGCATCACTATGGAGGCTTGTTAGAAATGCAGAACCTCTGCCTCCCTTCCTTGACCTACAGTCAGAATCCGCTTTTCTGCAAGATCCTCAGATGATTAAAGTGTGGGAGCGCCGGAAGCACAGGCTGTTCTGGGGCCCTTCTCCACCTACTGTAGCCCCACTCCTGCCTTGCAACGCTCTACTCGCTGCCACCTCCTCCTTGTGCCTTCCCTGATCTGTCTCTTCCTGCCAGACATTATCTGTTTCCATCCGCACAGGAAGCTTGCTCATCTGTGATCGCATGCTACCCTTTTTTATACTTACCATTGTGCCTCCTGAGCTTTTTAAGGGTACCAGTCCATCTCTCTCTACTCCCAAGACACTAAGCAAAGTAACTTGCATACAGCCAGAAAATGGGCCTCATAGAGCCATTAAAAACACACACCAGCAATTCCTGACGTACCTGTTAGCATCCTACAAAAATGAACAGTTGGCTCTGCTTTTTCCACTGCCAATACTTCCACGCAGGATGACACCCTTTTCTAACAATATGTGGTATTTTTCACATCTCCATTATAACCAACACATTACAGATATGGGTTTTTCAGGATATACTTTGTGCTTCTCCTAATGGCTCTTCTTATAATTCTCTACGGAACCAAAGACTTTCATTCTGCACCTGAATTACATGCCTAACTTGCAAGCAATTCACGAAGAAATAGTTCATATAAGGGAAACTCCTAAGCTATTTTTTTAACCCCCTGTAATGGATCTAGCAATCTTGGGCAAGAAATAACACACTGTACTGATGAGTTACAAATGTTTCTGGTATGCTAACTTCAACCATATTTGTGTGGGAAGGTAACACCTACATTCTTAAATATTAATATAAAAATGGTTTCAAGAATTTGCAAATCTAATAGGCCATTCAATATAGAAGTGAACAAAACAGACAAAATTCCCTTCTCTCTAGCTCATATATCTTGTTTGAAATTGATCTTGGAGAAAGAGAAAGAGAAATATCGATTTGTTGTTCCAATTATTTATCCATTCATTGATTGATTCTTGTATGTGCCCTGACCGGGAATCATACCCGCAACCTTGGCATATTGGGATGATGCCCCAACCATCTGAGCTACTCAGCCAGGGCTCGAGCTCATATTCTAATGAAGAAGTTTTTAAAAATTAAAAATATACTATGTTAGACAGTGATAAGTGCAAAGGGGAAAAATCAAAGCAAGGAAGGAGAATGAAATGTACCCAGGGCAAAAGTGTTTGAAATTTTAGACAGAGTGGCCATGGAAGGCCTCACAGAGAAGGTTCTGAATTTATTAAAAAGTTCACTATGGTTTATCACAAAGGATATTAAAGGACACAACTGAACAGCTAGATGAAGAGATACACAGGACAAGGTCCAGAAGGGTCTCAAACACAGGAGCTTCTCTGCCTGTGGAGTGTGAAGTGCACCACTGTCCTGTCAACCTGAATGCGTTTTGGTTCTCCAACCTGAAAGCTGGGCAACTCTCTAGTTCAAGAGTTTTTACAGAGTTTAATAAGTAGCCTCACCCCCTCCCCCTTCCCAGTGGTAAATGGGGTTGAAAGTTCCAAAACTCTAATCAGTGTTTGGTTCCCCGTGGGTCCTCTGGCAACCAGGCCCCATCCTTAGGTGCTTTCCAAAGGTCATTGCGTTAATCCAAACTCAGGTGTGATTGAAAGGCATTTGTTGTGAATGTCAAAAGACACCGCTTGCCCTGACCTGCATGGCTCAGTTTGCTGGACACTGTCCCACGAAGTGGAAAGGTCGCAGGTTCAATTCCGTTCAGGGGACATGCCGAGGGTGCGCCCCCGGTCAGGGCGTGGTCAGGGTGCATGCACTGACTGCTGTTTCTCTCCCTCTCTTTTCCCTTCCCTTACCCTATCTCTAAAAAACAAATAATTTTTTTTTTTTTAAAAAGACACCGCTTATCACTTAGGAAATTCTAAGGATTTTATGAGACCTGTGTCAGAAATGGAATGAAGAAAAGAACAATATATTTAGTAGTATAAATCACAATAATTCATTATAAGTCACAATAACTCATATGTAGGGAGAAATATAGATACATAAATACACCTATCAGTCCTCCTATTGGTAGGTCTTTTGGTGGTTTCTAATATTCTGTTTCTAATAAGCAGTACACGTTTTTGGCCCACCTTTAGCATAGCAAATGTCAATTTTTTCCTCTAGCACAGTAAATTCTAACCATTATTCCTGAAGTAAAACCTACCCACTGCTCAACAAGAAAATATGGACTCTAAGTTACCCTGGAAGCCAACAACTTCCAGACAAACAAAGAGTCAAAGTCATTCAACTTGTAACAACTTTTAAGTAGACAAATGTCACATGTAAATTTGCACAGAGACATTCAAGAAGACGTCAGTGAGATCATGGGTGCCCTTGGAGAGAGCCCCTTCCTGTAGTACCTACTCATTAACCAGGAGTAAATACTTCCACAGCTGAGAAGTCAATTGACATTAAAAGGCTGTCAGATTTCCACAATTGAAGCAAATTATGATTGGCAACATCAAAAAGCAGGAAGGGAGAAGGGGTTGGTTGATTAAGTTACTATAAAACCTTTTTAAATTTCTTCATCCATGTCACCATCGTTGGGAGTATCAACTGTCAGGACCTCTGCGGAGGGCTGTGGTAATGAACAGCACCACTCACTAATACTCGTGCCTGGCAGGCACACAGTGGGGTTGGAGATTTGTGCTATGAGATTTTGCCAAGGCAGATTTATTCTCACGATGATGAATGAAGCTTCAGAACTTCTGAACTCAGCACTCACCACTCCAACTTCCAGACTATCACAACTCCTTTGCCAAGAGGTGATGGAATAGCGATGGGCATTTCGGGGATTTGGCAAATTAAAGGTTGAGTGAGAGATACGCTAAATTGGGGTTTAGCTTTCACTTCCACGTGTAGTTACTGCAGCTCTCCCACCGTAGGAATGGCTTCCAGATACGCTTTGATCTGACATCATGATGAAGAAACAGGCCCTAAGATTCACAAGATAAATGAGTCCTACAATGCCACAGAAGCATGTGGGCAGTGAAAGAGAAAAGGGGTTTGAAACATATGGAGCCAGAAGCTAATCTGTGGAGAATTCTTTAGATTATCAAATGCATGATACTGTAAGGGGACAATTTCGGTTTTGTCGGTACCTAAATGGAACTTGTGCCCCATCAGGAATATATTTAAAAATGCAGAGTATGCAATTATAAACACACCCTGCATTTTCCCCCTTTGTGGTGGGAATCACATAAAATAGAATTTATTAGAATTCCAGGGTTTGTAGGGCAGAAACCTGTAGCGGTACTACAAAAAGCAAGTACACATGTGTAGGAGATGACAGTACATGCATCCCCATGTATGAGATCACACAGTGGCAAATCTGACAAATCTTGAACTGACAAAGTCCAACAATCCCAAATAAAATGGCACACAAAATTGCCTCCAACACACCTACACATCCTGATGAAACAAATGTTCCAGTAACAAATTCCTACACATATTCATCAGAAAATCAATGTATGTAGTGTAAGAGCATGTTGATTGTATAATGATGACACATGATACACTGCAGTGGCAATCTAAAATCTGAATTTTTCATATGTACACCTACCTTTCAGATTGACTTCATATACTTTTTCAGAATTAACTGGCCATATTAAAATTCAAATATGATCTCTTAGTGGAGGCCAAAAAACAGAAAGGGGACACTTTTTAAATTTGTGATTTA